TCAAGCCTTCAGCAAACATTAAGACTTGAATGTATAGTAGACAAGTAGGAAGGTAATTGACAAATAGTCCAGACCGAAGTGAGCCTAGGTGACTATCACAGTAGGGTTAAACAGCACCGTCTGGAAAGGAATAGTTTTGTAAATACTGAAGCAAGCGGCAATATTTTCAGAAAACCTCTTAATTTAAAAATCAGAAGATTAGTAGACGTTGATCATCTCTTTAGAAAACCCTTGTAATGTAGCGAAATAATAGACAAAATTGTTGGCGTAATTCTTTTTGATATTAGAGATTCAAGTAATTTGGGTAATACACTTAGTTTTGCTGTATCTCTATAATTAGCAACAGAATTTCTAGGACCACTTTGATACCGTAAGATTATTTCTCCAAATTCGTGAAAAATAACCATTTAATAGACAGCTATTAAATTTACTCGTTAGAGGGGTATGTAATACATCAACACAAAGTGAAGAATACAGGCTGGAATTCGATCAGAACTTGGCTGCTAGGAAAATTTCAGTGGGAAGAGTGCACGATATTCCTTTTCTTCGGATGGGAAAACGTCAAACAAACAGATTTTTTTAAGGATAGTTATCAAAAAACGTGGTCAAGGCAGAATAGGACTTTCCAAAGTAATCATCAAAAAGGTTGAATATCTTTTACGCAGTTTCAAATTCAATGCAATTCTTTTGTTTTTCGTGTAGAGTCCTTTCCTTATAAGAGGTGTTTGGATCAGCGAATAATTTCCTTCTAACACCGTGTATATAATGAAAAAATGTTTCCGCATTTCAGCAAATGGCTATTTTATAATATCACTTGACAAGGATTAGAGACTGAGTAAACTGATGTACGTGCCTTTGCTGAGCTAGCTTGTTCATGAGATGTGGTGGTTATATTTTATCTCTCGGGCACTCCTCAGATGTTTACACCTGTAAGAATAGCACGTATTTACCCTTAAACGATCACACGGACGGACGAAACATAGCTTACCGAAAGCGCATACCCTAAGCTCTGGGCTTTTCTTCTCCCTGCCCTACTTTAACCGTCTCCTACGGCCAATGATGTCTATGGGAGACCCCAATGATGTCTATTGGGTCCGAAGAACCCCAATCTACTTTCCTCTTTATTTTATTTTTTATTTTATTTTTAAGTTTAAACAACAGGCAATTTACTATATATATATTCATGAAATATAATTGTAGAATTACTCATAGTTAAAATTCATATAAAATTTTGTTACATATTTAAAGGAAAATTTTGTATATGAAAGGAGCCCAAAAAATGGAAAATCTTCTTACAATATTAAAATTAATATAATTATGCTAAATTTTAAATATACTTATGACCTAAAAAATCAGTTTCATCTAACACTAAATACTGATATACTGTACAAGAACCTAATAAATCACTCCCAATCCTGCTTATTCTCCTTGATGCATCAGCACTCAGTAAATTCTTTACGTGGAAGATTTCTTCTTCATAAACAATTAAGCAGCAGCATTAACGCCAATTACAATAAACTCCAGCAGAAATTGTAAGATAAAGGTGACGACGAAAACCGAACTCATCGTCAAGAACATATGAGATCAACAATAGAAATATTTTGTAAATCATATACCGTTCCGTACATATTATTCTTAGCTTTCACTTATAGGTCAATAATTTAAAATTGAAAACGAGCGGCTATTTGTATAAAAAAAACTCATTAATTTCTGATTTCTTTTTAGTGCATACTTTGTAGTGAATGGTACTGCGTCCTTATTAAATATTATTTAAATAAAAATTTTTCTGTGCTCGGTTCAACTTTTCATAATTATGAAATTATAAGAATGGAGTGGTAAGAAATTTACATACTATCGCCAATAAAAAACGAGCAGTGTCAATTGATGTCATGACGTTTTTCATTTCTCTGTTCATACACTTCACACGACGTATAACTTTTATTTATATATATTTATTTGTTGGTTTAAATACGACAAAGACAGATCGCGCGTATCAAGCATATTTGTTTTGTTGGACTTTAAAGAGTGCAATATTGAGATTAAGTGAAAGACATCATTTAGGTTTCTGCAAACAACTCTGAAAGGATTGAAGAGTTCATAATTGCATTTACACTGACGAAATTTAATGAGAATAAATTGCGTAGGGAAGCGATTAGAGACATTAAAGTTTATCTCAGCAACTAATGTGGACAAATCGATAGTAGCATTTATTAACTTAATTATGAAGGAAACACCAAGAATAAAGTTACGTTTCTCAAGTAATAGTAAAGCTAACAGAAGCAACCTATTTTCTTAAGGAGGCAGAGAGACAAGGAATTCCAACCCAAATTCCTAAGGGCAGCCAGCAAGAACTGCTTTTCAAGTGATTCAATTGAATCTATATAACACTTATAGGAAGGAGACAACACAATATAGGCATACTCAAGTATAAGTCTAAGCACAAATAGTCTTTTTTGTAATGTAAGGATCCTTTAGCTCTTTGGACCACCTCTTAATGAAATCAAGCGTGGATCTAGCTTTACCTAAAGACAACTCAATGTGCAAATTAAAGGCTCTATTCTGCTCGAATAGAGCCCCTAAGTTAATGAACGAATCCACGTCTTACAACTTGTGTGAGTCAATGAAATACACGGTACCGAATGGCGTCCTTCCTAAGGAAGAAAGCTTCTTGCGTTTTTTTAAAATTAGTTTGGTAAAATTTGACAAACACCACGAAACCAAATTATTTAAGTCATTTTGAAATTGATACGATTGCGTTTCCAAGCAGAAGAAAGAAAACATTTTAACATTGTCACCGAGGGGAGATCATTAATGAATAAATTAAATGAAAGGGGTCCTAAATGGCTGCCTTGAGCGACGGCAGGCGTCAAAGAAAATTCATCCGAGGCGATAAAGTTAAACAGAACCTTGAATGATCTGTTATGCGGATAAGAGCTTATCCATTATGTTACGTTTAACTAAGGCAAACGCTTTACAACAATCAATATATACGACATCCCTGCAAGAGCCACTAGAAAAAGCCTTAAAAACATGGAATTCTAAGAGATTCGTAACTGTTGAATTTCTTTTTAAAAAGTAATGTTGGATTTTAGAAATATAAGATTTGACAGCAAAAGCTATGTGCTGAGTAGCAATTCCCTCAAATAATTTGGGTAAGACACTTCACTTGATAATGCATCTATATCAGTGGCTGGACTATATAAGGGTTCAGACTTTTGACCACATCACAAATAAGTGCAGCATGTTTCTTCTAAATAGAGATATCCGCAGTTGGGGAAATATAGGAGCACGTTACTTATAACTGTTTACTAGCAATTTTCGCCCGAATGGCAATAAATTGACCGTCAGTTGTCAAGCCCGGTCTTGACACGAATATTGCCTTTTTGAGAGATAGTACTATCATGCAGGCGTTCTCCGTATTAGGAACGATAAGATCCACAGGTAGAGAATTTTTAGAGGGAGTGACCACGCTTGCACGCGCAGCTTGTGCCACTTGTCTAGCATGGTGACCAGCGGATACACCCGAACAGCTAGGGGAAGGGATGGATTTCTTATTTTTGTTAATATTCTTCGGAGATGTAGGCAGACTAGCCTGTATGGAAACAGTGGAAGGAGATACCCTTGATACTTTAGCTTAGGTAAAACGAGTAGAAGTTTGCAGCTTATTTCAGTTGAGCTGAGTTTACGATAGAGGAAAGGCTATTGTTCTTTGTAGGCAAGGATGGAACACTTGAAACCTTAACGGAATTCACCTATGGCAGATCCATAACTTTTGTGGTTGACGATGAGGACGAAGAGAAATGGTGGCGAGTGGCATGCATCAACGTATCAGTTTTAGACGAAGACGGCGGTCAAGTACCGCACGTTGATATTTCACAGGCTAGAGGAGAGGGTGAATAGACTAGATAGCGACATTCATCCATGTATTTTCGTCACTAAAGTTAAGTTATACTTTCTTTTTCAAAATTCCTTACCTCGTACGATCACCATATTTTTTTCTCTTTTTTTTTTCTTTTATTTAACATGAAACTCTCCTAAACGTCAAAAACCTTCATGAGCGAAAAATTACCAACTCCTCTGACTAAGGGTTGTATTTCTAACAAAAAGTAAATTATTATTTGCAACCACATGTACTGTAAAAAACCATTAAATTTGCCGCTTATTTCTCGATTATTTTTTGGAAGTAAATTTCGAACGACAAAAGTGATATATAACTCACAACCAAATGGCTTTCAACGTACGCCGTCCAAATGAGAGTGAATGACTTATTTTATTTTGAATTTACAGCTATTTTCTTCTATAAATACAACTTTGAACAGCCAATACTAACGCGAAGTTTTGGCTATTTTGCTTGTACTTAATTTGACAGCTTTGAGGGAGTGGTTATCGCAGCTCTTGTGCCTATATATAGAAAAAAAGTCGAAATACGAACGTGAAACCTAGTGAAGACTACACAAAATCAATGATTATGTTTTCGATGCATGACGCACGGTGCCTATATATATATATATATATTTATCAGCGCTTTAAATCATGGATAAACGTGTACACTAATTGCATTTGCTCAAGTTTTTCTGAAAGAACTCAGCTATTCACGCACAAAGAATAAAAACAAAAATTAACATATAGATTGTAGACAATATATATTCAAAAGAGGTAAAAGAATGAAATATATTGTCTACGCAGAAGAAACGATGATACGATACGAATGATGATAAAATCAAAGGAAACAATATAAAGCACATAAAAATCGCCATCTATTGAAAAAATAATTTGCAAGAATAACTCACATTTGAATAATGTAAAACAAATTTAATATAATGCATAATGCCTTATATATTTTCTCTTCTTCTAAAAAGTTCATATAACTTTCGCCGTTATAGGCAAAGGGAAATGCGGAATGCGTTTCCCATTATTTATAGAAAAACGATAAGCTGCTAAAAACGGCAATCATGTTGATATTCTTTCTGTTAATTGTTTTCAATCTTTGTATGTAAGTACAATTACCTGAAATCGAAGTTGGCACTTTATTCGTCGCATAGAAAATCTTTTTTGGTTAACAGAATCATAAGGAAGTGTTTTAGCGTTTGACTTCAAAGGATTGCTGGTGATAATCAATTTGGAGATTTTTTTAATTGGCATTTTCACAATCAATTTAACAAGACGGTTTTAATTAAATAAATAATAATCTGATATAATTGTGTAACAAGAGTGTATTTAAAAAATACAATTTTTTTCGAATCTGATTTTACACAAAAAAATCAAAGAAGAGAAGGGATATGGCGTTGGAAAAAGACAAGGAATACAAAGCAGTTATTAATGACAACAATGGAGAATTGGAATATAAATCAAATGCCGGTAACATGCACCAAAGGCGAGATTCAAATACTTCAAAAAGAAGAGGTTTGCATCTAATACAAAACTGATGAATTTATATGCACTTTGGGCAATTAATTTACTTTTATTCGATTTTGCGTTAAAGGCGGACAATCTGAGTGAATATTGCTTAAGAAGATGTGATGCACAATTTTGCAAAAGCAAACCTTTCAGTGTTAAAAATTTTGAGTTGTGAAAACGAATCACATAACAATTACGTAATTCTCCTGTACTAGCGACCGCGTGTATGTAGTAACTAATCGCAATTGGAGTTCGTCCGTGAACACGGATGAAAGTGTTTTGGGACATTAATGGAATTAATTCTTAAAAAGATTAGGCCGGTTTGAAAAGCAGCCCATAAAATGAATTGCATTTTTTATGAAATTCTTTCTGTGTTTCGAAAAACAATTTTAATCAAAGCAAGTTTTTCGTTTACCTTCTTTTTTTTATTGTCTTTCCGAAACATGAATATAGGAAAATATGTTTCCTGGCACTTACGTCGTGTTCTAAACGCAAAGAAATTTTAGTTCTTTTCTTGCATCTGTTGCACTAAAAATATATATAAATACACCTAAATTTGTCGTTTATAAATTATCCGTTTCCCTGCCCCATTGCACTGAAGGACATTTTTAAACCGATGATTACGATAGAATTAATTTCTTCAGTTATTTGCCATTTTATGTTGGAATATTCTCATGGAGGTGAGTGTATTTCATGTTTTCGCGTTTAAATTTAAGTATTGAGAGAATCTTTACGTAACTGCGTGCCATGCTATGATGTAGAATTTATTTATTGAAAGTATGAAAACTAAAATTCGTTTATGAATTCCATTAGCTGTCTCATTAGCGCTGTTAATACCGCTTGTTTTTTAAAAACTGCAAACTACTTTACTCGTAATTTCGCTACTAGATTTCGTAGTAAAAGTTTAAGTTATGAAGTTATATCATGGACGATGTAGTGGCTCTTCTATGTCTCGTCTTCAAAATATGTTCGATTGAAAATTAAAATGTGCAAATTCTTTCCGAACTGTTCTGTTTTATAGCCAAGATTTTCTTTATCCCCTTCTATAACTCTACCGTGCCGATTTTTTTTCATGTTTTAGGTAACTTTCGCTTAAATGCATTTAAGTCAAGATTATGTTGTATTGGCGTAGCTCGTCCTACATATAAGTTTCTTATTGCTGTGAACGCATTGCCAGTTATTATCTTTCTAATAGTGCTCTAATCGTTGTGCGTACGCATTCGAATTGTCAATGCTGCAAAGTGATTAGTTCTTTGTAAGTTAATGTTTGCTAGGATAACAGCTATATTTTAGGAGTTAAATTCAATCACTGGTCTATTAAATCTCTTTCATGAGCGTTTTTCTCCGAAATCACACTTTCATTCTGCGGGGTTTATCCGGCCCTTTCTATCTTTTTCTAGCTCCTCACAAATGTAATTATTAGAGAATGAACCTAATCGCTACAGCATTTGTCAGTCATATTCTCTTTGTCCCAAATGACGAATCTTGTCAACAGGCAACTCAACAGATATCTTTCAATTAGAATATACATTTATTCAACTTTCAAAAAGCGTTTCTTTCTTTTCTTAATTCTGCCTATTATTTGGCGTATTATTTTTAAGCTTTATTGGAGTTTGCGCTTCCTGCTGTGCGGAATGTAACGTTTTGCTATACATTTTTGCTCATTATGAAAAAAGTAACTGAAAAATATTCGCAATTTTTATTTTGTCCCTTCTCATGTGAGGAGCTTTTTTAATCTGTAGTTATAAAAGTTAGTCTTATTTGTACGTTATTCCCGGTTAATTCGCCTTACGTCCAAGCGAACATCGAAAGAACTAATTTGCTTGCTTGTATATTACTGGAGATCAACACAATATAGCATTCGATTACTTTGAAGCTTAAGCAATCAATAACTCCTTGGATTATTTACACTTGGTTACAAATAATAGTAATAAAGACATTTTTTTTACTGCAGGCAAAAACATTAAAATCGACCAGCATACGGAAGAATTAGCTAATGGTCACACCGAGGAAAAGCAATCTACAATGGTCGACAGTAACATTGATACAAACGCAAATGCTATAGATAAAAAGACGCAGAGCGTTTTAAAAAGGAAGGATGTCACGTCTGACGTTGAAGAAAATTATGAAGAGGACGTCGATTTGGACGCTCTGCATGACAGTGGTATTACTGTCAATATTCAAAGTCCAGGTGCAGAGCTTCTCTCCGTTCAATTATCCAGTATGGAACTTGTGCAGGAGATCCATCAGTTGCTGATGGACCGTGAAGATACTTGCCACCGTACATGTTTTTCGTTACAGTTGGACGGGGTGACTTTAGATAATTTTGCAGAACTAAAGACTATAGAAGGTTTGAAACATGGCTCAACTATTAAAGTTGCTGAGGAACCATATACAATGCGAGAGGCCCGTATACATGTACGCCACGTGCGCGATTTATTGAAAAGCATGGATCCCGCAGACGCTTATAATGGCGTTGAATGTAATTCGCTGACGTTCTTACATACTATTACACAAGGCGATCTGTTGGAAAAAAAGAAATCGCGGCCTGATTCCGTAGATTGCACTCCAGCAGAATATATAATGCCCGGAGTTAAAGAACCTCCTTTGACTCCTCTACAACCCGGCGTAGGAAAAAGTTCGAAAGGCCCACAGGCCTTAAAAGTTCTTACTACATCAGCCTGGAACCCGCCTCCCGGCCCGCGTAAATTGCACGGAGATTTAATGTACTTGTATGTGGTGACTATGGAGGAGAAACGTTTCCATATTTCTGCATGTCCAAAAGGGTTTTATATTAATCAATCGACTGACGAAGTATTTAGCCCAAAACCAGATAGTCCAAGCCACCTGAGCCATTCTTTGATAGATTTATTAACTCAAATTTCGCCTTCGTTTAAGCGTGCCTTTCAACAAATGCAAAAAAAACGTACTTTGCGACATGCCTTTGAACGCGTTGCCACTCCATATCAAGTGTATCAGTGGACCGCTCCTTTGCTAGAACATACGATTGATGCCATTCGTGCGGAAGACGCCTTCTCTTCCAAATTAGGGTAAGACAATAAGAGAAAATATTCTAAATACTCACCATCTGGGAAGTACAATTCATGCCATAGCTGTATAAATATAAAGAAGCGCTTACAATCGCCGAGTTATATTGAAATTGATTTATACCAAAATATATATAAATTTATTAATAGTTTGAGAGAATTAATTGCTTGAAATGGCATGCGTTTTGCACTACTAGTTGTAGCCACTATTTCAATGCTTCTTTTTTTATGACTAAACCTGCACGGACAATAGACGAAGATGTAAAATGCTATGTCGGTAGTTATAAAAATGGTTTGGTAATGTTTGACAAGCAGGGCCATGGTGGGTGCAAAATTTTTTTTGAATGTTTTCAGATATGTCAAAGTTTAAAACTTTTATTTTATATGTTAGCTATGAGGAGCATATTCCTGGACAAACTCGGGATTGGAATGAAGAGTTGCAGACAACGCGTGAGTTACCACGGAAAACTTTACCTGAACGCCTATTGCGGGAGCGTGCAATTTTTAAAGTTCATGGCGATTTTGTAATTGCTGCTACACGAGGAGCAATGGCCGTTATCGACGGCAACGTTTTAGCAATTAATCCTGGTGAAGATCCCAAAATGCAAATGTTCATTTGGAACAATATTTTCTTCTCACTTGGGTTTGACGTGCGCGATCATTACAAAGAACTGGGTGGTGATGTTGCTGCGTTTGTGGCTCCACGAAATGATCTGCATGGTGTTCGCGTGTACAGTGCTGTAGATATTGAAGGATTATATACTTTGGGTACTGTGGTTGTTGATTATCGTGGATATCGCGTAACGGCGCAATCAATCATCCCAGGAATTTTGGAACGTGAACAAGAGCAATCCGTTGTTTACGGCAGCATAGATTTTGGAAAAACTGTGTTAAGTCATCCTAAATATTTAGAACTTTTAAGAAAAGCCGGGAAACACTTAAAAATACTCCCTCATTTGGTACAAAATGAGCGTGATGAGGCAGTAGAATTATGTTCATCTGTTGAGTGCAAAGGGATAATTGGTAATGATGGTCGCCATTATATTTTAGATCTTCTGCGCACATTTCCACCAGATGTAAATTTTCTAAAGTTAAATGTTGAGCTCAGCTCAGATTTAAAAGATATGGGTTTTCCTATTGAGCATAAACACAAATTATCCTGTTTACGACAAGAATTGCTGGAAGCGTTTATTGAAGATCGATATGTAAGCTTTATACGAAACGCGGCGCAGCATTTACAGCGGATAAACTCTAATAAGAAAGAAGAAGACAATTCTACTGCAGCCGCCTGTGGAAAAAAGGAGAATATAATGGAAGAACTTAAAAGTAATATTGATGATAATGAAAATAATGAAGACAATTCCAAAGATAATTTAGAAGTTGAAAGAAAAACCACTTACGAAGCAATTAAGGAAGCACAGAGGAGTGTAGCTACAGCTGATGAAAAGGAAGCAGCCGAAGTGGTCAAACTTGCTTGTGCTGCTGTAGGTTCTTTAAAAGAGAAAGAGTTTGACTTTCGTTTCAATCCAGACGTCTTTTCTCCTGGTATACGGCATGTTGATGACTCTAACGGACCAAATTCTTTAGTTAAACAAAAGAAATTAGTGCAAGATGCTGCCGAATTTTTGGTATTGAAGCAAATTCCCGCATTTATTAAGGAGCACATTAATCACACATCACCTCCAATGGATGGTACTAGTATAACAGAAGCATTACATACCCACGGCATCAATGTTCGTTACTTGGGAAAAGTTATTACCATGCTAAGCCACCTTCCGCGAATGGATTATTTGCATCGCATATCGGTAATGGAATTAATCATACGAGCAGCAAAACATATATATTACACTTATATGCAAAACACAGATGCTATACATCTATCGGCAGCCATAAGTCATTTCTTAAATTGCTTCCTATCGTCGGGAGTCATTAATGTTAATGTCCACTCGGATGAATTACACAAATCTAGCAATAATAACAAAAGAGGAAAAAACAAAAATAGGAATACTGGCAAAATCAGTCAAAAAAATGGTCAAATGGTTGGCGAGAATAATGATTGGGCCTTAATTACTCAAAAAATTTTATGGCAACAAATAAAGAAAGAAGCCAAATTCTATTGGGATTATGATTTGGGTTGTGAATCTATCGAAACAGTGATAGAAAAATACTCTTTGCAGCGCACGAGTATTTTACGTGGTTTTTGCCTCAAAGTTGGCATCCAAATTTTAATAAGGGATTATAACTTTGAATCGCGCAATAAATCCACTTTCAGTGACGAGGATATTCTAAATGTTTTCCCAATTGTGAAACACATTAGTCCTCGCGCTTCAGATGCTTATAATTTCTATACGACAGGACAATCAAAGATCCAACAGGGCCTTTTCAAGGAAGGATATGAATTGATAAGTGAAGCACTGAATTTATTAAATAATGTTTTTGGCGCTATGCATTCAGAGAACGGATCTTGTTTGCGCATGTTGGCCCGCTTAAGTTATTTATTAGGAGACGCTCAAGAAGCTTTAGCTATACAGCAGCGAGCTGTTATAATGAGTGAACGTGTGAATGGCATTGATCATCCATGTACAATTTTAGAATATGTAAATATGCCGAAACTATCTTTGAAATAAAATGTTAATATATTTGCTCCTCTTTAGACACACTTATCACTTTATTGTTTTGCAAATGGTCAAATCAGCACATCTTTAAAATTGTTGTACCGCGCTAGGTATTTGTTGGTTCTCATATGCGGTGAAGATCATCCCGAAGTCGCGCTTATAGACGTAAGTATTTATAAGACTCTAATAAACAAGACGCAATATCTACGCAATTTGCGAATAATTGACTCAAATCAATCCTTCATTTGTTTGTCCAGAGCAACATCAGTTTAATTTTACATGCCGTTGGTGAATATGAACTATCTTTACGCTTCATAGAACACGCCTTGCAGCTCAATTTAAAGTATTTTGGCAAAAAATCGATGCATGTGGCTGTAAGTTACCATTTGGTCGCTCGCACCCAATCCTGTATGGGTGATTTCCGTTCGGCGTTAAACAACGAAAAAGAAACGTATTCCATTTACAAAACTCAGGTTTGCGGAAAAGAAATTGCATATTAACATTTAATCAGTATATGTTTTTCAGCTAGGAGAAAACCACGACAAAACCCGCGAATCTGCGGAGTGTTTACGTCTGCTCACTCAGCAAGCTGTTCTTCTACAGCGTAAAATGAATGACATTTATTCGAATGGAAAACTTACTACTGGTTTACCACCTATTCATATTCAGCCGCCAACAATGGGTTCTGTGTTGGATATGTTAAATACGATAAATGGTATCCTGTTTGTTCAAATCAGGTGAAATATATTATCATACATGTGAAATTTATAACTTATTAAATGTTTTTATTTTTCATATTTTGTAGCCAAAGAGATATCGCTAAGGTTAGGACAGAAATTGAGAAACATTTAAAAACCACAAGCGAAGTGAGTGAAAATATTGAAACGCTAGAAAAGTTAGCCGTCGGAGACAAATCTCTCTTGGTTAAGAACACTCAAGAAGGCGAAGGACTCAACTTATCAAATGGCGAGGATAATACCAGCGTAGACAAAAATGTAACTAACATTACCAATTCGAACGGAACTGATTTAAACATACCAGCAACTATTAGCTGAATGTACAGAACTACTTTTCGTACGAATAATTACGAAAGCATTTAAATATACTCGCAGAGTCTATTCAAAATGCTAATATTCAAACCCTTTAAATACCACAAATAAAATGTGACAACTATTTGCTTATGGATATGAATTGTTAGATTATTTGAATATTTGTTTTTCTAACACGTAATAAAAAATAACTTATATATGTGCTTATAAAAATGCACTTTCAACCCAATTTTTCTGTCGTGTCTAAAACTACTTAAGGACTCTTTTTTTTTTTGAGATGAAAGATATAAAGATTGAAGCCAATTGAGACTGCACGATGCCGGCTAAAAGAGAGTGATTGAAGACATAGTTTAAAAAAAAAAATAACACCCAACGATCACTGTCACGATGCTGCTTACTGTCTTTTCTTAGATTTTAATTTTAAACTCGTCAATTATATATTTGAACTTTGGGTTGAAGAACTTCTCCAATTATACTTGCACGGTTTTGAAGTTTCTTTACAATAATAAATAAACTTTGCTAAATTAAAAGATGGGTGCGTCAGTTATTATCGATCTGTATTTGAACAAGATTTTGAAAAAGTAATATTTTCCATTAAAAACATCTTCCTCCTTTAGGGCTTCTCGAAATTTTTAATATTGACATTGTGCTTATAGCGAACCTCGTATGAATAAGTTGAATCTAGATTGAAATTAATAAAAGCAAAAGAAAATTTTTTGTGGTAAAATTCTATTTTCGCTTTCTGCACTTATTGCGTCCTTTTCTTCGACGCCCAGGAGCTTTTGGAGATTTTCCACTTTTTTGCTTTTGCGCAACTGTGTTATTAGCGCTTTGTTTCCCAATCCGACTAGTGACATTTTGACCACTGATTTTTTTTGAGGGTAACAAATGTTGACTTACTAACTCACCGAGCACTCCTTGATGGGCTAACATAGAAAGAAATGTGCAAATAAATTCGTCATAGTTGTGGGTGCGACGGCAATCATCAACCTGTGTGCAAAATAAAGATATAAAATACTCGTTGCTCTCTTTTAACAGTTACTCACTTTGAACATATAACGAAGATCGTTCTCATCGTTTAAATGTTGTTCATTTATTGCAATTTCAGAATCCAAATTTTTCAACAACGATTGCAAATCGCGCACTGTGAACGCGTTTGGGGCTTCTAACAAAGGCGAGGGGGATACTGATCGCTGTTGTTCCCAATTTAACTCTGCGCCGTTTTCGCTCGGCTTTGTAGAAGAGTTATCTAAGTTACCTTCATTGGACTTGAGTAATTTTTGCAATGTACCAGACACAATCGCTTGATTAGTTCTTAACATTTTTAATTTGTGTGTTATTGCTATCCGTCGATCTGGTACAACGGCCATCAGATTGAAGCGAATATCTTGCTCTCCAGTTGTTATACCCAAACGCTCAGCCATGACACGTCTAAACTTATCAGTCCAATCTTCATTTATATCCCAACCGCCGTGGTCCATTGGATATGGTTTTAATCCATCCAGTTCAAAAAGGTGACCATTAATAGGCACAAAGCTAACAAAATGGAACGCTTCACCAGTGAATCGCCCTGTCGATACTCCAGAGCCGGCATTCCGTTCTAATCTTCTTCTAGCCTGTGGCATGGCATGAGAATTATGTGCACAAGCTAACTCAGGTGTATTTCCTATTGCCCAACCTTTATTTTCAGGTGACATATGCAAGGTATGACTTTTTAAACGACTCAAGGTATCGCCCAAATGTAATTCAGCTTCACTACAATTTAATAAAACGGACAACAGAGCATGAGTGGCGCAACTATTGGGAACAACCTGCTGAGCAAAAAATATGCTTGATACGGCTTCATCATCTTTCACAAAAATTTCGGCGGTTGTTTCGACTATTTTGCGTCGAGCTCTTCTTTCCTCGATCCATCGAAACAGAAATATGAAACCATACACAGGACCTTCAATTGATTTCTGAAGATCATAAACCTCTTCGACCTGTACGCCGTATACGCCAAAATCTTCCAAAAGTAGTGTAAAGAGTCCTGGATCCGATTCTAATTCTAACCAGCCTTCAGTGAGACGATTAATATCTACCGGCATTTTGTTGGATGCCATCGGTTTCAAATTTTTTAGTTTTAATTGTAGATAACAAATCAATTCTCAATGCAAACGGAAAAACATATGATAATGCTGAAAGCTGCGAGATGTTTACATTAAGAGACGAATGGGAAAAAACATTTATTTACCTATTACAGCACATCTCAACATTATAGAATTCAGTCACAAGGTAACTGCTGAATTCAAACTTTTAGCAATTATTATTGTAATTAGTTTCTTTGCTTTTTCCAATGAACGATATCATAAGCGGAATTACACAATTCAAAGCAAAGTGATTAAACAACAACAGCTCTCAAGAATTTTTTCAACATAAATGATAGTGCCATTGCTTTGACATCAACAATAGAAATCACACGTCATTTAACTTTCGGCAAACGGCAGCTGGATAATTTTTTTTCTTTTTCTCGTTTTATTGGTATTAGTAAAAAAAAAAAAAATTAAAAAAAAACAAGAATTTGAAAAAGGTAGTTAAAAAAATAAAGGTTTAAAAAAGAAAAGAAATTTTTGAAAATTTCAAAAAATAAAAAATATGTATATTAACTTTTCTTTTCTCGTTCTTTGTCTGGTTTCGTAAGTGTTCCCCGAGATAAGCACTGCAACAACATCAGCCTGTATCTCTACGGAGGCATGGTTTGAATTAATTGTCTTGGATAGACACGAATGAGCATGACAAGAGATCGAGGACGGGTGGTGATGATGTTAGTCTATCTCCCAAAGGAGAAGTTTTAGCCAAAGATTTGACAGTGCTCAGAAAACAGGTATTTAATAAGTCTACTGATTTGGGTGCTAAAGATATTGCAAAGCATGATATCAGTTTTGTAGTCTTTGTTGAAATTTGTTAAAATGCCGAGGGAAAACGTGTAGATATCAGCTCTGACCTTTTTTTTATGATTATCTAAAAACCTTCAACATCGGCGGCTTACTAGAATTAAAGGTAGTTAGCGGGGGTAAAGCTGAAAAGCAATTTAGCGTAATGTTAATAGTTTCGCCAAAGACAATGATTTCCAAAAAAAGATATTAAAAGCATATATTCTCAGAGATTTCACGGAAAGCTTTGGAGTAATTTGGAATGACCCCCTATAGTGAAAACGACATCATCGAAAAAGCAGTCTCCGACGTTCCTATCAAGTCTGCTGTTAGGTTTCGTAGAAGAAATCCTAACAACAAAGAAAAGTTCATTCCAACTAGCCTCAAAATAGTGTAGAAAGTGTGCAACAACGAGATGCTTGTGCTGTGGTTCAGGTGAGCACAGTACTCTAAATAAGTGTTGCCTGAACAGGGAGTTGGAATTAAATATTAACAATATGGCTATTAAAAATCTCTCATATAAAGAAGTGAAAGAGAAGTTTTCTTCAAATCACTTTGAATATCTGGGTGACAACTCCTAAGAAAATTTCCCTCCATTGGGGAACTCGTCTGTCGTTTCCAGCAAGGATGATAACGAGAACGCAAATACAATTTTAACAAAGTAAAAATTTAATGCGGTCGTTAAAAGGAATGCTGTTATTTCTAAACCTTCTCCCAGTTCACCCACCAAACCTTCCCCCACTTCACCCCCCAAGCCGTCTGCAACAAAACCTCAGCGTCCAATAATTTCGATCAACTATTTGCCCTCCTTGGAACTTGATAGATTAAAGAATGTATCCGTCCGATGATCCTTCAGAATCCTAAGAGATTCGATGAAAAAATGTCTCTCTGTGCTAATACTCGCTACGATAAAGCACCCAGTACAGCGAGCAAATCCGCTGGGGCTCCTTTTTATTTAAAACAAGACCTCTTTTTTACAATGTAATATTCAAAGTGTTCGACGTAAGTTGTCGTTTTTGAATTTCTAGTTGAACTCGAATAATGTTGCTTTCTGAATCTTAAGTGAAGTTTTTCTGAAAGATGAAAATTGTTTCGAAATTAAAGTTTCGAATTATGCCTCAGCCACCAAATGCCGAAATGATGGCTATGGTGGTGTTAGTATATTAGTTAAGAAAGGTGTCAATTTCAGACGTATTCCCTATAACTCTGCCGTTGACATCATCATCATCAAAACCATCAACCTGAAACCGAATCTTTTCATAGCCTCATGCTACTTTCCACCCAGTCTCGATGTGCAAACCTTTCGTGATGAGATTCAGAGATTATGTGACTTTCTTGACGGTGAACAAAATGTGATACTAGCTGGAGATTTCAATGCAAGACACCGCCTGTATGACGATCAAGTCTCTACCAACAAAGGCAAAATCCTTGTAAATGCCATCAGTTCCAGCAGTTTCAGTGTCTTAAATAACGGCAATACTACCTTTCACTGTAAACGGAGCGGTCGAACGGCGAGCAGTGTCTTGGATCTAACTTTCTCGAACTCAACTATTTTATCTTTCAACTGGAACACGTCCACTGTTTCCATTGGCAAAAGTCATCACTCTCCTATTTTATTTCACAGTTGTAACAATTCCGTTAAGAAAATAGAAAATTTCATTTCACGCAACTTCCTTATGGACCGTCTGTCTAAAGTTGATCTTCCTTCTGATTTATCATCAATTCAAAGTGCCTTTCAGTCTGTAATCATGTCTGCTAGAACCAACTTCCCTGACATTGGGTCCTTCTCACCTAAACCTTGGTGGAATCCTTCCCTGTCAACACTTTTCCCCAAATACCAAGCTGCAAGAAAAAAAATGAGTAAATATGCCAATCCAGCCAACTACCTTGAATATATGAAAATACTGAAAGAATGGAGGTCTGCAGTTAGAAAGGCGAAAAGGGCACATAGAGGCATCGCTATTAAAGACTTATGTGGTAACGGCAACCCACGTTCCTTCTGGAATTATATCAATGGTCATCGACATTCCAATCGAAAATTAAGCGGTTGTGCTGTATGGAATGACCGTGATAATAAAAAATACTTAGATATGCTCAAGAGCTACATTCCAATTGTTAATCCTATTACAATGCCTTCAATTCCTTTTAGTAGTATCAGTAACACACCCTTTTCATTGCATGAGCTAATGTATGTTTTACATTTCAGAAAGAGAGCTACTGCTGCAGGTTGTGATGGAGTCAAGTATGACATGCTCATAGCACTGTCTGTAGGAAGCTTTAACGTGCTTTTGCATGCAATTAACTGCTGGTCCACCAACTTTATACCCTCTGATTTGCGTTGCATCAAAATAGTTCCCATTCCCAAGCCAGGTAAAGACTTAAATGATTTAAGTAGCTTCAGACCAATTTCACTAATATCTGTATTCATAAAGACCATCAACCTCATGGTTAAGGAGAGACTAACTGCTTTCCTGAAAACTAAGAACATTATTCCAGCTCGGTCTTACGCCTATCAAAAAAGGAAATCTACGAATATGTGCGTTAATGAACTGTTTTTTCTCACAGCCAGCTTAAAAAAAGCAGGGAAAATGGTTGTCATGCTCTCCCTGGACATCAGCAAAGCCTATGACTGTGTCAACTTGATTAAGCTTGGTAAAATTTTCTTAAACTGTCCAATTCCTCTTCAAATACGACTGTGGATACTAAATTTTTTATCCAAGCATTTGTTGGTGATTGGTACAGAAAAAGTTGAAATATACGGTGGTATCCCACAAGGCAGTTGTTTAAGCCCCATACTCTTCAATCTATACACAGCTATTTTGCATGATCTTTAAGATGACAAAACTCATATTTATCAATATGCAGATGATTTCTTAATTGTATCTGCGGACTCATCTTTTTCAGCGGATGTGAATAATCTCTCGATGAAAGCTAACCTTTTTTCGATGCATGCATCGATGTCAATTTATATTTTAACCCCAACAAAACAAATATTTCAAAGGTTCTAAACGTGAATCAGGCTCTTTATCAAAGGTACTAAAGTTGATCAGGTGAAATCTCTTCGATTTCTTGGCAGAATTTTAAATATCAGCCTAACTCTTCGTGAACATTATGAGAAAGCCTTCAAAGACTGTCAATCCGGATGCAATATCCCCAAACTCTTGCCTCCCAAAAAAGCTTTCACTGTATGCAAACCTTTAGTCAGGTCCACATTCTAGATGTTGCAATTTCTTAAAATATATTGAGAAACGTATACAAACATTCGAAAATCGAATATTAAAACGTTGTACTGGACTGACCCCCTCAATTCCTCAACATATTCTCAATGTCATCCCTGTGAGTGGGCCCACTCGTCAGGGGCTAAAATTTCCCTACAAAAATCCAAAAAAATGCACATTTGTCGAAAGCAGATTTGCAATGCAGGTAATCTACTGATGCATATTAATGACTTACCAATACTAAATGTGCCGACACTGCATATTCTCGGGCTCACTTTTTCCAACAAATATCGTCGGAAAGCACACTGTCTGCGGTTAAAAAACTCTATTTTAACAAGGGTAAATTTCATACAGTACGTTGCTTGGAGAAGCCATGCGCATATTAACACTATTGCTTATCTTACCAAAATGCTTGTGTTAAGCAATATTGACTATGCTTTGATAATTTATGGCAAAAGCTGCATATCTAATATCAACAACCTTAAACCGGTCTATCACCAAGCCGTCAGAGCAAGTTGTTATGCTTTTCGGACGACGCCCATTAATAATATTATAATTGAAACTCGTCTCCCAACTTTAGAAAATAGACTGTATGAGTTAAAAGCTAAAATAGTCCCCAAGCTTCTTAATTCAAACAAATCCATTCTCGGTGATGACGTAAGAAAGATTATTATTGCGAAGAAAATTCCAAAGTCACCATCTGCAATTGACCATTGTTTGTACGTGCAAAGGAATTGAGCGTTCCCTTAAAAATTTCCCGCTCTTTTGGTGTTAAACCTCCCTATATTTTGAAAGACTGCTCTTTTGACATCTCAGTGTCTATGCACAAGAAAGAAGATACTTCAAATTACGTCTTCAGGAATCTAATAGCTGAGAAAACCCAAGTATTGGACAATACTGGTTGGAATCTTTTTTACACAGACGGCTCAAAATCTTCTGGTCTGCCTCCTGCTTGTGCGGTGGTAGATGCTACAGGACGGGTTCTTATCAACCACATATTTCACGAAAGTACTTCAATTTTCACAACCGAAGCCAGAGCTATCATTCACGCTGCGAACTTTGCCCATAAAAACAAACTCAAAACCGTCATTGTTACCGACAGTGTGTCTGTATTACAAGCTATTCGGAACCCTTCGACTTCGAGATGGAGCACCACCAACAAATTAAGGAATATAATTACTACACCCGACGGAAAAATTAAAATGTTATGGATACCAAGTTACATCGGTTTACTGGGAAATGAGCAGGCTGATCCAGCGGCAAAGTATGCTGCTTCTGCTCCTCTAATTATGGATGATGTCATGGAAAAGTTGGATCTTCAAAGATACATTGGAAGAAAAGTTAAAGAGAAAATTGCAGAAGGAAATTTACAATACCATCATCAACACTACTTTTCCATTAACCCTCAATTAACTCCACCTTTATATCCAACAAATGTTGGGAAAACCAAGACCCAAACATTTTCGAGAATACGCCTTGGTCATACAATTGCAACTCACCAATGGATCCTGAAGAAGTCTTCTTCTCCAATCTGCTGTTGTGGACAAACTCTTACTATAAAGCACATTCTCTGCGATTGCCTCAACTTTGCCTTGCCTAGAAGTATTGCATTTATAACGACTAACTCTTTGGACATTCTAAAATCAGCTTCAGAACAGAATATCAATTCAATATATTGCTTTATTAATACTACTAAGCTCATTATCTAATGTACATTTATTTAAATTAGAGAGAGAATTTATTTCATTAGTCTAAAATTAGAATAATAATGATAATAATAATATTTGTAATATTTGTGTTTGGTACAAGACGAAACACTGTGTGACGACCAAACTTACCAAAATGTCGGCGCTGGGAGTAGGCTCGCTATAGTTGATATTAGACATTTCTAAAGCTTGTTTTAGAACAGGAGAGGGAACTAAAAGAAGTGGTTCTAGATGTTCGGGCAAAATCAATATATATTGATCGATTTGTGTTATTGATTCCTGAGGCGCAAAAATAAAAGCCAGCATGTCTTCTATATGGCTTTGATTTAAATCTGTGGGTGGCTGTATGCAGAATAAATGCGATTTCGGTGGTTTCAAGAGGATATTTAAAGCAACGTCATGAATTTCTGTAAAGTAAAGTTTAAAAGCATCATAAATGTTGTTGAAAATACCCAAAAATAAAACTTGATTGTCTTGGCTTAGTTCTAAACGTTTCTATTGAAATTCTTTTATAGTAACCACATGTCGTTGCTATTACATACTTACAAACGTCTGATAAAAATTTATTGAAGTGTGCTGCGAATGTCGAAGATTTTGCTACAATACATTTCTTTTATTTTCAGTTTTCTTTTAAAAATTTTATGTTTTTTCGTTTTTTTTTTTTTTCTTTTGCTTCTATTAAGATTACATAAAATCAAGTTAAAATACCTACGACTGAAGTTCTTTTCCTTTCTACTTTATATATGAAAGGTAAATATTATATGCAAGTAAGTGCGTTTATTTGTGTGTTACGATTTTTTTCTTTGTTTTCCTCTTAATTTTAAATTTCATGCCTCTTAAAATAACATTTACTTTCGTACAAATAAAGTGGTACCTGCTATAACATTAAATTCTTAGACAAATTGAATTGAATTTGAATTGAAAACAAATTTGTTATCAGTCGATAATAATTTGTCGTTCAAACATTTTGCAATATATGCCCTGCAAGTATCGAATCATTATTGCGCAAGTCAATCGCCCGCAATGCGTGTTATATTTTGCACGATGTACGACATGTCAGAGCAAACGTTTTCGCATAGCCACGCGAGAGGCATGTCTGAATTAATATATTAATTATATATTGTTAATCTGAAATTAAATTGAAATAAATAATTAAGTTATAAATGGCAATCATTAAAGATATATGCAAACTTACCATTGGAACGCAACGAGTATTGCGAGGAGGGTGGAGATGGCGCGCAGAGGAACTTAGGCCCACGTTATGTTTGTGTCTATTTTCTCTCTGAAATTTGTTCCGGACAGTAATGTTATCAGCAGGAACCCGAGCAAGTTCCTTCGGTGCAGCTCACTTCTGCTGCATAATCCTGGTCTTCGGAAAAAGGGAACTCGTTCTATTACCGTTGCTTGTAGCCGCATGCCTATTTTTTTTGCCGTCATGTACTGCCTAATTGTCGCGTAGAAAATTTTGTACGCTCTTTGGAAAGCTTCATTGACTTCTTCGGTTGGTAAATCTGGTTTCAAATATTTTGAAACCCACGTCAGACTATTCAGCTTATTCCTGGCAACCTTGCGACCTTGTTTCAAATAACAGAAGGTGTCTTCGTTCATCGTGAACTCTTGTAGGCATTCCTCGCAATGCAGCTGCTCACGAATGTAGCGTGCTATACCATATCCTGTGAGCAGCCTCAGGGACTCTTCAAGTTTGCGGCTCAGCGGCTGAGTGATTAGATTTTCGAATATGTCACCGTCAGGGGCGAACGGTTCAAATTCGTCATCTTCATTGGCCGGCGCTTCAAGCTCGTACAGTAGTTTTTCAATGAGGAGGTAATCGTCCTTCTGCTCGATTCCTTCTGCCCAGCACTCCTCCTGTACGTTTCTCAGCCTTGCGAACAGCGCCATTATGTCTGTAGATGATCGGGACCTTCTGTTGCTATTTCTGGCTGCAATGTTGCTGAAAAATCTTTCCAACAGATCTTGGCTTACAATTCGTTTTTCACAGTTTTTAGACAATTTTTAAATACTTCTTAT